CTCCTATAAAGGAAAAGAAAAAAAGATAAGAGCTTTCCCTATCTTTTCTCACAAATCTTTAAGAATGAAACCAAATAGCTTCTGTTGGCCTTTGATACCTTTATTGGATCAGTAACACGTTTTGGTGTGTCTCAACTAAATTAGCTGATAACCTAACACACATATAAAAAGCATAGGCTCCACAGCCCAGCTATTTACAGCTTACCAGCACAGTTACATGAAGAATTGGGTTTCAGTGAGTAAGCTTAACCTGGAGAGGAAAGACTTGGAACTAACTGAGTGCCAAGTTTCCTGATGATGTGACACATCCTTCATCTGAAGTTGTTAATCATGTTTCCTCAATAGCACCCAGAATCTCATGTGATAAAAGCAAGTAACATTGCTTTTTATTGTTAAATAATACCTCAAACATTGAAATGCATGACCTAGAGAGCACACCTGTGTGTGTACGTGCTCCTAAAGCTCTTAGTTGAGCAGTAAATCTCAGATGTACAAAGCAGGTATACTCTTAGCCACTAACAGCAAATCTACCTGTCTCTGTCAAGGCTTAGGGAACAGGGCTCATGTGTCTAACTCTCCTACTTCTCAGACTACCTTAGAGTAAACATTTTGCGAATCTGTTGGACATTCTATTTTATTTTTCCAACTTTAGCATAAGGAAGGCAGTATAATAAAGACTTTAACTTCTGGAACTTGATTTTAAACAATGAGAAAGGAAAAAACAAGTGTATCACTTTGTAAGTTGAATTATTTGTACCTGAAACCTGTTAAGACCTTGGTTATGTAGTTTTTGATTTTCCTTCCATTTCTCACTCTCTGCTGCTGGTAATTCCAATGCTAAATTTTATTTGGAAAACTCATCCTGGCTTGTGTGATTATATAGAAAAAAACTGAGGGGACTTACCTTCTGTCAGTGCTCAGGGGCATACAGGTCATATGTTCATTTTCTAACTACAATGAAATGCTTTAATTAAACCATTGTTGCAAATGGCAATAGAGTGACTTCAGTCCATAAACCAAAATGTAGTGAGATCTGAAACTCCTACCCTAGAGAAAACATTGCCATGTTCAACCTACACATGCTTCTTTGGTTTCTATTACTGGATTGCCATAGATGGATGTTTCCAGATGCGTTCTTTTCTCTAGAGTATAAATGGGTCTAGACTACCAAGGAGAAGTTTGCTGAGCTTCAATCAAAGAGACACGAGGAAATGCACACTTGTAACTCTAAACAGGCACGCTGACTCCATTTGGTCTGTGACAGCACCTGAGTTACAACATGGCTTTCCTAGTGTCAAAGGAAGTTTGTCCCCTCTTCCTGCAGGCCACTGCCCATGAACCTACTAAATACAGCTGAGGGTTTGGGGGAGTTCCGAATGTGAAGATTTTGTGACTGTTATAAAAAGATCATGAAAGTAGAAATTTCTCACAGTAGTTTTCTGAGTAGGTAGGTCTAGTTTTGAGAACTGTAGCATTCAAAGAAATGTCTGAGCAAAGGGATCAGAGTTTTGAAGTGACAGCTTGAAAAAACAAACTTAGCTTAATAGTCAGGTGCGTCAGACAGCCAATCAAATGCTGCTTCTGAGAAGGAAGCAGGTGTCACTGCAGTGTGACCTGATGCTTCTCTTTCTGACTCCAGATCTAGTGTGCAGATTAGAAGGGAGAGAGCTGAGTCAATTTTCTTGAACTATTTTCATGCTCTGACCCCAGCTCTACCTACATACTGAACTAGGCGCACAAACACAGTGGTCAGACTTTATGCGTCTCCTCCTCAGAAGCCATGCACATATAAACTGTAAGTCCGATCTACTAAAACCCTTCTAAGAAGACTTTCTGAAGAAGGTGGGATCCTACGTGGGTTTTGATCTCCTTTATCCTTAGGAGGTCTCCTTCTGTAGATCACATAGCTGAAAATGGTTTAAACTATAGACGAGGAGGATGCACTTTCCCTATGATCAGCAGCACTAAAAGTTTGCTGCTGTCTCTACCTGGACAAAGGGATGCGGTACGGAGGCAGATGAGGCAGAAGTGGGGGAATGAAAAGCAAGCGTGCATCATGCCAAAGGGGAGGAGGGCGTATTAAAGAGGCCTGTTCCTTTCCAGAGGTTATAACTTGGCTAAGTTGCTAAAAATGGGGTGTCAGAATGACATTGAACACTAGAAGCCCACCAACGATTGGATTTATACCTGCAGCTCAGTGGTACAGCACTTGCCTGACATACACAAAGCTCTGGGTTTGATTCCCCCAAAATCAGATACACAGCAACAAAAGGAGAGAGTTTAGAGAAAGCATGTCAAAAGGACTTACATTTTATTCCTTAATGAATCATATAAGCCATTTTCAACCCAAAAAACTAGACTCATCTACCTGACCCTTCACAACCATGGCAGATATTCCCCACTATTTATAAGGAAATATGAGAGAAATGAAATTTATCAATAATGGACTTTTCTTAATTAAAATTCTATGGTTCTAATTAAACAAAGGCTAAGAGAAAAAATCTACGTCATTCTTTTTCTTTCGAGAAATTTCTTATTGGAGCACAAACTTCTATAAGAACTTAATGCTTTAAAACTAAGTTTATTTTATTGTAATTTTTTAAAAATTCAAACAAAGGCAGACAAACTCAGCTAACAGTCCACACTCCTACAGAGAAATGAAGATTATATCATGCTAAGTCCAATGATATGATAGGAATGACGTGTAGAATCAGTACCATCCACCTGTGGCTCACAGTACAATTTATCCAAATTGTATTCGTTAGCCAGGTGTCAAATTATTGCACAAGCTTGTGGGCCCAGCATGTTCCCTCCAGGCAGCAAGGTCTTCACCCCATTCTAGCATCAGGACCAGAATGTCAGTACCGGATTTTATAGTCACATTTATGGATAACAAGCACTTAATTTCCTTGTCTATCGGCCTACTCTTGTTAGAGGTTGGCAGATGCACTACTTATTAACCTTCATTATTATAATCCCTGTGAACCCTTAGAAGCCTAGAGTTACCTACAGTTGAAACTTAATAGCAGCTTTGCAGAACTTTGTTGTCTATTGGTAAAGTTGAGTAAACACATTTCCTAATTGCCTTGTAACGACCTTACAGGCTGGTCTTTAATTGACTGACATGTCTATAGCTCAGCTCTATAATCCTCTTCCTTGTTAAAGCTTTGTTCAGGCAGGCCTTGAAGTATCTTAGAATGGGGGACTAAGACTATTAGATGGTTCTGCTCATACTTCCTCTATCTTTAATATTAAATAATTCCTTCTCCCCCTAAGGGCTGTTAAAACTAATAGCATATCCACTATAAGGAAGGCCATGGCTATCAATCTTTGTGAACTACTTCATTAGCAGATTTCAAGGTGCTTCTCTGGTAGAATATTTTCTTCCTGTCCACTTCAGACTGACTAATGCTCATCTGTTAAAGACACAGCTGAGGTTACAGAATCTTGAATAGAATTTGGAATGTAACACATGCCATGTCAACACAGGGATGTAATGCGCCATGTCAAAAAAAGAGGGGAGGGAGAGGGAAAGCTCAGGCTGGCTTAGGAAGGGGACTCAGTCTTTCTTAGGGTGTTGGAAAGCCTGAATTATGTTACCTCATATCCTTCAGCAGTAGTCAAGGTTCTAGTGCAGAATCCACAGCCCCTTGCAAGTAACCTGTTGCTTTTCATATTCTTGACACTTAAGATGTTAGAACTGAACTCTTCAGTGCCCTTTCTTTATCTGCTATGCTGTCCCAAGAAAGTAGAGATGGTGAGTAAAACCCACGCATGGACCTCTGCGGCCTGCTTCTGACTGACCTGAACATGGCAGCGTCTCACATAGACTCCTTACTTCATTATGAAGAAATGCTCCCACCAAAGCAGAGGCCAAGAAAGGATGCCACCTGGCTCACCTCCTAATGACCATCCAGGAAGTATACTTTATCTCATCTTGGGGTACTCGAAAATATTGCTCTTAAGGGGATGCTGACAGGCATGGGTGGCAGGCATGGGTGGCAGTCATGCCTCCAATCCCAGCACCCAGAAAGTAGAAGCAGGCTCATCTCTGAGTTCAAAGCCAGCCTGGTCTACACAGTGCATTTCAGGTCATCCAGTGAGATCCTGTCTCAAACAAACATAAAATACCAAAAACCAAAACCAAAATAAGAAAATAATGGAGGATGGGAAATATCACATAGAAGATGATCTTTTTCTCTAGAGAATTCTGATTTGGGAAACTGTTTTTTAAAGTCATGTTCTGACTAAAAGCCACACTTGTGGCTTGAAGAACCCTAGGCCAGTGAAGAACATGAGTTGTATAGGCTTTTATGAACTAGAACGTGCTGTCCACTGATCTGATTTCATCTGTGCCTCTGAAGTGGTCTTTGAGGGCAAACTTTACTAGGAACGCTTATGGTCTCTGCTCCTGAGCTCGGCCCACATCCTCCCTCCAGATCTGATTTTCCTTAGTAAGGTTATAACCCCCCAAGTCACTCTCACAGACTCTCAACCTCTCTCTCTAAACCTAAAACTCATACTTGATACCTTTATTTGATTAAAAATTGCTTTCAAAGAGAAGGATTTGATTGAATGGCAAAAATAATACACACACATGCATCTGGTGACATGACATGGAACATGTGGAATGAGTGGTAAGATGGGGAATAAACTTTATTGGCCTACGGAAGGGGTAAAGGACTGAGGCCAGGCCAGGGAGAAGAGCAGTGTGAATGGGAAATTAAAGTGGAATGACTTAAGATGTCAGGATGCTGCATGACCTCTGTTTAACTAAGACCAAGTCTGTGCAGGGAGTGAGGAAGACTATAGCTGCTTCCTTCTGCCGCTACTGACAGCAGTCCTAGCATTACCATTAGTAAGTCACACTTAGTTCTGTCAAGTCAGACACAACTTTCTCTGGTTAGTATAAACAGGGTCTCCATCTCGGATTGCAGTGTGACCCGCCAGTGCTCAGAAGGCATGCTTGTGACGAGCTCGTACACTTTCCAGTTCCCCACCTCCAATGGCGGCCAGCGTCTCCAGCCTGTTCAAGCGCTCCAGGCTTTTTCCAAGAACTTCTTCTAGCCGACTGCGTAACATCTGGGCCCCTTCCAGTTCCACCTGCAGAGTTCGGTCTCTCTCAGAGCTGATTAAACATGCCACATGGAAGGAAAACAGGTTAGCCATCAACTATAATGAATCCATTCATTTCCGAAGAGCCACCTTTGTCACTCGGGCTATGAGACTTCCTAAGGTAACTAGTCTCCAGGGCACGGTAAGTGGATGACAGGTAACTAGTCTCCAGGGCATGGTAAGTGGATGAATGTAGCCCCAGTGTGGCATCTGTGTTCACTGCTGGGGGCTAAGCAAGTCCTGCACCTTTCTACAAAGCTTTTCCCTTCAGCTAGACTTTGGGCCACTTGCACACAGAAATATAGCAACAGAAGAGGAATTTCATTATGTGACTGAGAGCTTCAGACTGGAAAACTAAAAACTTAAGAAAAATTAAATGTCAACTGAATCAAGAATGAGCTGAGACTGGGGAGGGCTGTTCTGTCGCCTGCACCACACTGACGCTGCTGAGACTAGTTCCAGGAGGAGCAGCACTTCAGGCTGACATCTTCCCTGACTTTCACTTTCCTGAGGTGGAAATAAAACACTCCTTAAAGCCCAAGGAGAAACTAGGGAAAACTGAATAATAATTTAAAAAAAACATTGAAAGAACAGAAAAGGCCAGGAAGGAAGGAAGGCAAGAAAAAAACCTGAGATGCTCTGAAACGAGGCATCAAGATAAAGCACACATATGCCCAAACCAAGAAGTGTAAGAAAACATGGTCATCAGGGTACTTACAGTGACTCTGGGTGGAATCACCCACAACACACGTCTCCTTCACTGTCATTAAGGAGTGCTAGTGTGCTGACAGCCGTACTGCTGCAGCAGAGCAGGCATTAGCAGGACACGGGACAGAAATGGGAAGGTGCCCACAGAGCGTCCTGTCTGTATTCAAGGCACTCCCAGACCCCTGACCTATCTTCTTGGGTAATCTTTGCAGTGCTAGTGGGAAAACCTATTTCTAATTTAAGATGCAGACGCTGAGGCTCAGGCCAATCCATACAACAAATCACAAAGTGGGTAGCGTCCTTTCTTTCTCTCTTTAGCACTTTAAACATCTGTACTTAATAAAAAACAGGAGGAGAAAGACTGAAAGCTGAGAGTAAGTGAGCCGGGCGGCGCTCTCTTACTTCTCCGGCTGGGCATGGAACTTGACCAGGCTGCTGTAGAGCTGCCTCTCAGCTTGCAGGGCCTCGTTGAGCCGGCTCCGTGCATCCACTAGTCCTTCCAACATCAGCAGCAGCTAAGGGAGGAAGAGAGGCAGCAATGTGGAACGGTAAAACGAGACCTGAAGCCACAGTGAGTCCCGAGAGACAAAACACGGGACGTTAGCTCACGCTGTGAGCAACTGTCATTGCTATTACTTCAGCTGTCTGTAGTTTCAAATCAACATTAGACCCATTATCGTTTTATATCGTGAAATTAGTCAATTTCAAACATGAATGGGGGAGGAGACAGAGACAGACAGAGAGAGAGACAGAGGGAGGGAGAGGGAAAGAGAGGGGGGGGGGTGAGGATGCAGAAACCCTGGGAAGGAGCTAAGCTGCAGGGGTGAAGAAGGCACTGATGAGCAAGAGGGAAATAGTGAGAACTTAGAGGCAGGTGTCACTGTGAGCCATAAGCCATGCCAAAGACTAGCTGTGGGAACATGTAACAAGCAGAGAGCTATTAGTGCCAGACTGGCATGGGGTGACTCAATAACTCAATAGACAGAGTCTGACAGACGCAGCTGAGGTAGACTTTCGGAAGAACCTGTCACTGAGAAGGTTAGACATGGAGAAGCTACAGAGGGACCTGTGCTCCAATAACTTACCTGCTGTCTCTTGTTCCCTGATACTTCCTGACCCTGGGATTCCACTGAAGCAACTTTTTCCCGAAGAAGTAAGACTTCTTGGGTCAGGCGCTCCATGGCTGGTATATCTTCAGGGTCAACCAGTTGCATTTGCAGGTCCTAGAAGAAACATAAGCAAATGTAAAAATTGTAGTAACATTACTCAGCAGAGAAGTAAGGGACAGATCTTGCTGCTCTACTTCAAGGCCAAAGGATTCAATGCATTCCCATCTGAAGCTGCCCTGTAGACAGCTGAGCTACAAACTATTCTAGTGGTTTGTAAAAATCTTTGAAAGACCTTTATGAGGTCTTCTTTTATCTGTATGTTCCTGGTCAGGGACTCCAGGTCAGCGGCCTGCACCTGCAGCTCCTCCTCTTGCACAGCCATCATGGACTGCAGGGCAGACAGTTCTATCTGTGGAGAGAGGAAAAACCAGCATGAGAGGCAAATGCTTTCTCATGTCGTATTACAGTCAGCCAGTACTACAAGAGAAAACCGAAAAATAGTGCTGTGGGTCAAATCAACAAAGCATGAGTGTGGGACAAAGGTTGCTCTAAAAGAAACTGTAAGAGACCTTTCAATAATGTCTTCTATTACTGTAAGTAACAACTTTAGTTAATGGCTTCACTGGGATATTTAAAAACTGGTTACAACTAGCAGAAGCAAGAGAAATGGAGTTTACATTATGTAAACATATAAATGCCTCTGCTAACACAAGAAAACATGGCAGATTTAGAAAGCCTGCATTTTATGCCCTTTAATGAATTACTAAGGTATTAAGCAGCTGCTGACATCATCAGGGATCACCAAACCATAGGCTTCCTGGTGCAGAGCATGCAGCCAGTACAAAGAAACTTCACCACAGTTACACTGCAGACAAAGAAACCTTACCACAGTTACACTGTAGACAAAGAAACCTCACCACAGTTACACTGTAGACAAAGAAATCTCACCACAGTTACACTGTAGACAAAGAAACCTCACCACAGTTACACTGTAGACAAAGAAACCTCACCACAGTTACACTGTAGACACCAAGCTCTCAGTGTTGTATCCCTTCCCCCAAATGACAAACCTGATAACAGAGCCCATTGAACTCCATGGTAACAACCGCCCCTGTTAACATTCACTGTGCACTTCCTACATCCCAGGGATTCCTGCATTCCTTGCATGTAGTTCCCTCAACACACCTATTGATCTGAACTCCTCTAGTCCATTCCTCCTTCAGTACCTGCCATTTGACTGCAGCGCACCCGGCTCTGTGCTGAGGAGGAGCCTCTGCTCCTACTACTCTGTCAGCCTGCAGTATCTTTCCCAGGGCTGTGGTCTCTGAGGTGCTAGCCTGCTCAAAAAGCCCATCTAAGGTGATCCTCATGTATGTTACTTTTTCCTTGTCACTTACTACAATGTTACCTTATATTTAAATTAAATTATTTTATAATCTATAATTACCACACTTAAGCTATTTATTTGTTAGTGTCTGCTATCATCCTAGAGGAATTAATTACACAGATTCCCTTCTGCTTCCCTCAGGGCAAGCTGCCTGTGACTGGATAGGTCAGTTCCAGTAATTCAGAGATACATGGTGCCGGCGGCAAGTTCTGCTTCTAACACTTTATATCAATGGTAAAGTTGATGAAGTGTCTGCTACTGATTTTATTTTTCAGAACTCAGGAATGGAGACATGTATGACAACTACCGGGCCCCCTTCAGAGATTACTGTGAGTGATTACATATTTCAATATGTGCATTGTTAAAGAATACAACAGGGCTGGAGTGAAGGCACACTGGTTAAGAACACTAGCTGCTCTCCGGGATGACCAAGGTTTGGTTCCCAGCACCCTCATGGCAGCTTACAGCCCTCTGTTCCTCCAGTCCCGGGGGACCTGATGCCCTCTTGTGACTTCTGCAGGCTCCAGGCACACATGTGGTACACAGACACACATGCAGAAAAAAGTACCCATATAAAGAAGGTAAAATATTTAAATTAAAAAGAAAAAGGAAATGATCAACAGAAGAAAGAAAGTATTCAGTAGCACACCTGAGGTCTACAGATAGACTGACATGGCTTTAAGCCCTAGTGCAAGCTGCCTACAGGTTTTGCATTGAAGTTTCGTTTCCTCATCTGTAAGTGAGAGTGTTTCCAGGGCCACAGAGGGCTACAGAAAACATCTTTAAAATTCTTGGCATGTGGCAGAAAGTCGGTGAATGATGGCTCCATTGCTATCACAGGACAGTAAGGGAATGCTTACAGACAGTGGAAAGCCCACATGGCTGTCAAGTGCCAGTGTCAGAGGGGACATGTAATGGTTCTGGGCTCAGTGGTTGACTAAGGATACATAAAGTTGAGCAATAGAAAGTATTTATTCAAAATACATATTCACAGTTCCTGCTTTTTTATGACCCTCAATATAAGTCAGAAGCAAAAAGAAACATTACTCTAGATTGAGAATGCACAAGGAAAAGAGGAACGGTGTGTGGGGACCACAGTGCCTCATACAGTGTCACAGAGTCACAGCAGAACCAGAGCAGGACGGGCATCTAGGGGATTCTTAAAGCGGTAATTCTAAAGTACTACATCCTCATGCCTCCAAAACTGAGTTATGTAATATAAATCTGTGAAGAAAAACATGGCAACGAATGCAAGAGGCACCCAGACATCGGTGTTACGGTAGAGATTAAGTCATGACAAAATCTGAGAAGCCGAGCTTTCTAAAGTCACCCTAGGGATGCAGGACACTCACTGATCTAACTGGACTCCCACACGTGAGTCTTCAGTTCAGTCTGTCCATCTGTGCAGGGCTAAACTGTCTTCTAATGAACACCACAGCTGGATATGCAGCTGCTTGCACCAGGAAGACTGAGGGTTCTTCTAAGAACGTGGCTGACAATGCCACTGACAGGCAGATAGCAAACAGAAGGGGGCGGGGACATCTGTTCTAGGAAATGACTCCTTAGGAAGTATCTGGGATATTAAGGCTTGCGTTTAAACTTCAATTTGGGCAATATGTTGAGCCACTACATCATATTTAAAATGCTTAGCATTTCTATCTTTTTACCCATAAGCTAGGGATGACAGCACCTATTTCACATGGAGTTGTGAGCTCGGGCCCTTGATCAGTACAGTACATGAAGAACACCCAGTACACAGTATTGCTTGTGCTCACACACCCCTTGTTTACTATGTGCAAAACTCACGGGTCTGACGTCATCCTTCTCGGCAGGAATCACAACCTGTCTGTTTGGCACAAATGCTTTACAATTATTTTATTTGCTTCCTGATAGGAGGGACAGACAAAAAGATATGGCACTTCTGAGGGCAGTGAGAGCATGTTGTTGAGGGAATAAGGGGACATACAACAATTTCTGTTTCTCTCCAAAGAGAAGAAAGGAACACCCTGAATTTGGAGTCAGGCATTATATGTGGGGAACTGCAATGTTTACAGTATAAACCATTTGAGAGAAAACCTAGGAATCGGTGAGCTGGCCTCGCTGAGGAGGCTTACCTGGCTTTCTCTTTCTTTTTTGGCCATGAGCTCCAGCTCCTCCTTGGCATTGCTCAGTTCTTTCTCCAGCCCTGCAACTGTGTCCGAGTCTCCTGAAATGAACGCGCAGCACTAGATTTAATCACTGAGACATGCAGTGATCTCTGGTGCCCCATTTCTGGGCAGCTTACTCTAGAACACATCTCAGCACTAAAGACAAATGTATGTAGCCGCTTTGGTCTGTAGCAGTATTTGTAATGCAAAACCCACAGTCAACCCACATGCTAAAAAGAGCAAGTGGAAAAGACCATCATGTGTTCACCTGGCACCCACTACGAAGCTGAGAAAGAATGAAGATGAAGCTGGTGAACTGACTCAGATTTCAAGGACAGTAAATCTAGATGAAAAAGACTGCATTTACTAGGGGAAGGGGGAAATGACACACCCATCCTTCCAAATCATCTGCTTATTTTTTAAAAAACATACACAAGAATAAGGATAGCCCAAAAACAAAACTTATTATCCTCAGTGGTAAACAGAAATGAGAAAGAAGCATGTATATGTGTCTCCTGAGTATATCTTTTATATATTTAATTCTGGAAATTAACACATAATTTTTAGTATGTAAGTTGCTTTAACAATGAGTGTGAAAAGAACTAAAAAAATCCATATAAGGTTTGGGCAGTTTTTCTTGGAAGTGATGTACGTGTCTCCAGATTTCAGGAGAATCCAAGTTGGTTTTCTAAACTATCATGATGTGTCCTGGCCAAATCTACTAGACAACAAGGGAGGACAGAAAAGCAAAGGGAATCTTCTTAAAGCAAACCTGGCACTTACCTAATGTGGACCGGGGTATGCTTGCCTCCTCTCTGGCAGTCAGTGAAGTGCTATCATCTCGAGAGGGCATCTGCAGAGAACCCTGAAAATTGGAAGGGTCACATGTGGGGTCAGAAAGATACAGGGACTCTGATCACGGTGGCAGGCTTGGAATAGTCTCACATAGTTTGCAGGTAAAAATGCCCAAATGCCTGCCTCAGATGTAGCAAGGACATGCAGTCGCCATGGCTATCAACAGAGTCTAGAGTTCTTACTTGATCAATTTGCTCTCCATGGTGGGGGCCGATGGAAGTCACTCCAGCTGGCTGGTTAGAGATGAACCCCTGAGATGATGCCATTAATTCTTTGCCTCCTAAATACTGGCGCAGGGCCTGCAATTCTGAGTTTCTTTCCATGAAGGCTTGTACCATTTTTTCTGCAGCAGCCTGGTAAGAAGAAACCACAATGAATGTTACCAACAGTATTATAGTAAAATAAATACAATTTCAAATTTCTTTAAAGATTTCTCTACTTTTATTTGATGCATAGGAGTGGTTTGCCTGCATGTATATCTGTGTGGTCATGGATGATGGTGAACCACCTGAAGGTTCTGGGAACAGAACCCAGGTCCTCTGCAAGAGTAGCAAGTGATCTTAACCACTGAATAATCTCTCCAGCATCCACTAAATATTATTTCTTATAAGCCAACCACTTATTTAAAGAAAAAAAATCCCATGAGACACTCAAAAACAACTTCCCCCTCTGCACAGTCTGTCACGGTAGACCAGTGTGCAGAGTGAACAGCATGTCTCGTCCAGGTAAGGCATCGGGAAAAGGCTCTCTAAGGTAGAGACCAGCAATGTTCCTGTTGAGAGTTTGTGCAGAATTGGCTTGACAAATGGCTTCCTTTACTCTAGTTGCTTCTCCAGCCTCAGCTGCCTTTCACCCAACATCTGTATGGTTGTGCTCCTTGCCAAGCATCATGCTATCTATCGCCCTGGCCTGTTCTATCTAAACTGCAACCACAGGGCAAACGGTACCGACACTCAGTGTTGAGTAAGTGTGGGTGATCACAGTGGCTGCGGTGGGGAGCACTGAGGAACACTGAGTCGTTTACCTGAAGCTGTTGCACATGAAACAGTGACTGGCCACAGACTGTGAGCTGATAAGACAGACCATTCACAATGTGTACACACGTGTTACCAACAATTTTTACTTGCCAATTATACTTCAATTATGCTTAGGGGGAGAACGAACTTTCACACTCCAAATCCTTCTGCTCTGCTTAGTTGTCCCCAATGCGTCCTGTTTCCTAGTGTACCCCTTATGGCCTTCATGACTTTCTCCTCCTCAGTGAGGATGTAGACTTCAGGAGCAGCTTAGTGCTAAATCCCAAGTACCCAAAGCGCGACTCACCAGGACCAGCAGTCAGGACATACTTGATGAATTACACAGTAAACATCCTTATCAGACCAAGCCAATCTGAACCTCAAAAGTCACCAGAGCCTAAGTGGTCATACGGTCACACTGCCTTCTAAATATTCATATTTATATGCACAGATGAGTGCTATGCCAGTCCGCACAAGAGAAGCTTCTTAACGCCGCATGTAGTGGTCAATGAGGAAACTCACACCTGGTCAAGGTGCAGTGAGTATCTCTGGATTGTTCAGCTCGGACATGACAGGTGTACTGCTCTCAAGAATTTACAACAGCCCTCTCTGTCTGTACAAGACCCACATGAGATCAAGCACAGAGGGAAGAGGGGGGCTTTTGAGCCCAGCCCCAGCTGAGAAGCCACTGATTGTTGATGGCTGCTGGGGAGGGAGGGTAAGATGTCTTTAAGGATATGGCCCCTGGGAGGTTCACATGGATGGCCTTGTGCCCATAAAGAGACGGGCATTAGGAATTAGAATCAGTGGGCTACTAAAAGCAAACAAAAGTTGGAAGGAGATGGGGATACATCTGGGAAGAATTAGGGGGAAAAGTGAAGGGTGAATATAATAAAAAGATATTATTACATGCTCAAAGAAAGAGATTAGTATTTTAGAACAAGAGTAGAAAAAAATCTCCCCAAAAGAATAAGCAAAAGAAAAAAAAAAAAAGATTGGGCCTGTCAACACTTTATCACAGACTGGGGAGGGCCCTGAGAGCCTGTTCATGGTTAATGCTTACTGGGAGATGAGGTACCATGTCTTTCATTTCTTTGGTGTAGTTACTGGTAAGTTGCTCTTGCTTCAGTAATCAATCTCCCACAATTAAACTCAGTATCTGCACACAACAAAGACTTGAAAGTAGGAGGGGGGCTCGCTCAGAAAACGGTGCTGGTGGGAATGGGAGGTGGAGAAGAAGAGAGAATACAGGATGAGGATGACTAAAATTCACTATATCAATGTATAAAACTACCTACCGATAGAAAGAACAAAATCATCAAACTAGTTTATTTCTAATCCCAGTGTCCTAAGACGATGATGACATAAGGAAAGACCTGGAACTTGTTTGTGACTGTTAAAGTACAGAAGTGCATTTACAGCTGGCAAGATGGCTCAGCAGGAGCCGGTGTTTGCCTACAAGCCTGGTGATCTGATTCTGATTTCTGGAACTCATAGAAAGGTGACAAGAGAGAGAAACTACTCCACAGAGTTGTTCTGTGACTTCCACACATGCACCATGGCACATGTGCCCACACGTAGCTTGTACATACACCCAGGCACACACACAATAGCCATTGGGATTATCTCAATAGGGACTGAGATAATGAATTGAAACTACATTGGCTAAATTATAGAACCAATTTCTCTCTGGGAGGAAACCAACTGTTTAGATGAAAAGCTGAGCCCCTGTCATAATCTCTAAATGAGAATTTAAAAAAAAAAAAAGGCCTTGCATTTTCTGTATGTAAAATGTTAAGGTATGGGCAGAATCCCTTGAGAGGTATCAACATACTGCCAATGTTCCCTATTAAAAATCTCCCTGAGAACATAACAGCACAAACAAGGTGTGTGGCCAGTGCAACCCTAGGACAGTGCTTTGTCCCCGCTCCAAGTGTGCTCTGTGAACCACATTAGAACTGCAGGTTCTCAAGCCCCTCCTGTCACTTAATCTCCCTTTTAAAAGACTTTCCAGGTCAATCTTTTGCATGAGCAATCAGAAAGGCAGACCCGCATGAACACCACTGGAGCAGCGGCTGAGGTGCAAAGGCTGTCTATGATGTCCTTGGTGCCAGCAAGGTCAGCTAGCCACAGGAGAAAAAGATATGCAGGAATCAGGAAAAACTAGGAACTGACCTTCAAAACTGGGTGTGGTAGATCATGCCTGTAATCTCAGCACTTGGGAGGCTGAGGCAGGAGAACTGCCATGAGTGAGGGTGGCTTCAGCTATATCGTAAGCTCCAGACCAGGCTGGGCTACAGTGGGAAACCTTATCTTTAAAAAGAATTGACTTTAAAATAGTGTGCACTGTTATTTTAAGATTGATATAGCCTTTATCATCCTGATATTACCTTCTCTCATAATAGCCTTCAAAATACAATTGTTTCCACCTAAAATAACTCAGATTTGATAAGAATTAAAAGAAAATGTGGGCCTGTGAGATGCCTTAGTAGGTAAGGGCTGCTAGCTGCCAAGATGATGACCTCAGCACAACACTTGGTTTCCAAACGGTAAAGGGACAGAACCAATGGCCCAGACTTATTCTTTAAATCTGTACCAGGATACATGCTCCCCAACAGATAGATAAATAAAAGTAAAACATTCTAAATTATGGACTGGATGTGGTGATAGACACCTGCAATCCCAACATTCTACAGGCTGAGGCAGGAGGATTGCTAATTTGAATTTGGACTATGTAGTGAGTTCAGTCCAGCCTGGACTACAACAGTAAAACTGTTTCAGAGAAAGAGATGGAGAGAGGGGGAGAAGGAAAAGGAGAGGGGGAGAGAGAGAGAGAGCGAGAGAGAGAGAGAGAGAGAGAGAGAGAGGAGAGAGAGAGAGCGAGAATATATGTGAGCATGCTGAGTATAACTTTTCCTGTATCTTAGATAATAATACTTCAGTATTCCATTCCCCTTTCTCTCAAAACAATCAGAGAAAACCAAAATAATGAATCCATGTACTGTCTAGGTCACTTTCCAGACATAATGTTCAAAAACTAGTTCATCTTACTGATGTGGAACTGTAGTTCATGGATTGAAGGCAAGAAACTGAGTTGACTATAAAATGAGTGAGTCCAAGTCAAATGCTTCCGACACTTCCTGTCTGCAGCCACAAGCATCATTCCTGTCTGCCAGCCACAAAGGCACCACAGGATCCTCATCTGGCTCTGCACTAACGCCTACCTGTCTTTCCTGCTCCCTGGTGCCCATCGACTGGAGCAGCCCCTGGATCTCCATCTCATGCTCCATGGCCTGTTTGTGCCGGTCACTCAGAAGGTCCTGCAGCATCCTTTCCTTTCGCTGCAGGCGCTGGCACAGTTCCTCAGCTACTTCACTCTGACCGGGTCCAAGTTTACAGAGCAAAGTTGCACTGAGATCCTAATGTGAAAGGGACGGCATGAATTTCTGGAGGACAGAATTTTCTGTACTTCATGTTGAAGCACCCACCATAAAAACATTATAAGGTTCTTGGGAACAGTATAATGTCTTATCTTTGTTGTTTTCCCAAACCTAGAACAGGCCCAGGACTTGGAAGACTGGAAATACATACTCAATGGCTGAATACTAACAATACAGAGACCCCACCCCACCCCAGATTGCTTATGCAATCATTTCTGAAGTAAGTAGTTTTCCTTATGCTCGGCACACACCAGTTAATGTCACACGGAGCCACACCAGTTAATGTCAAATGGAACAAGTGGGCACTTGGCTCACTTACGTCCTCTGCAGTATAACTTTAAAGAGGGAGTAAAAAAACCCATGGGCTAAAGGGAATGATAATGTGGGTGAGGGAGCACATGCCTCCTGCAAGCCCAGGCTCCTGTGAGCTTCAAGCAGGAGGCTGCAAACCTAAAGCCAACCTGGCTATAAAGCAAGAAGACCCTGTCTAGGAAAAACAGAAGAGGATCAAGGAAACTGTACTCATAAAAGAGTAATGCCGCTACAGCTCCTAGTCTACACAGAGATACAATATATGGTGCTTAAACTGTGGAGCCCTATAGGCTGTACCGAAGTGGCTATGTCTCTGTGATGCTGCTCTGACAAGGTAGTTAACCTCACACATCTAAGTCCTTGCTTTGAAAACAGAGTGTGCCCCATGAACTTGTGAGGATCACTAAGTTAATTTCCATTAGGCTCTTAAACCAGTGCCCCACCTAGGAAGTACATTGTAACTCTTATAATACAAGTAAGTTACGATACAGATGCATCTTAAGATCTAATTAATTCCCTCCCATATAGCTTCTCTGACAATGATAAATGACATGTTAAATTTATAGTTGTAAAAAGAGTTCCCAGAGAAAGGTAGCTACTCCCCCAGGCAAAGAATATAATTAAAGACTTGGGTTGCTGGCTCTGCAGGTCTGAGGGGTCCTGACTGGGGTTGAGCCTATGCTCCCTAAGCCAGTGCCTTCCAGTTAGTGGAGCCTTGCCTCTACTTCTTTGTTCCTGTCGTGCAAAGATGTCTGCAACTGCTGAATGATGTTCTCCTGTTCCTTCTGCCAATGGCCAAATTTGGTTTCCAGTTCTTCTTTCAGCCACTGGAGGTTTTGGCAGGTGGCAGTTAACTGCTCCACTTCCAGGCCTCTGGCCCTCAGGAGACTCTCTGTACTCTACAAGACAGATACAGCAAATGTTAAGCCAAAGGGAAACCCCACACTCCTCAGGATAAGAAACAAGTCCCTCCGGGCGTGGTGGCACAAGCTTTTAAACCCTAATCCCAGCCCCCAGGAGGCAGAGGCAGATGAATCTCTGTGAGTTCAAGGCTAGGCTGGTCTGTAAAACAAGGTCCAGGACAGCCAGGAAAGAGAAGACATAGAAACTCTGTCTTGAAAACTCAAAACAAAACATAAACAAAAACTCCCCAAAAAACAAGAGAGAGAAAGAGAGAAAGAGACACAGAGAGAGAGGGAACACAAAACCTGAGACCTGTCTGATCCTTTTTGGAAGCGGAGAAAACACAGACTGTCATATGTCTGTCATACCAGTACTTTTCAAAAACAATCTGGTTTGAGGAGAGGTAAATATAGAATGCATGATAGAATAGGATTGTGGGAGTAGTTTCTCTAACAAAAAAAGTGAATGACCCCTTTAAGAACACACAGATGGTAGCTACATAGGGTCTAAAGTAAGTATGCAGAAAAGCTACAAGTATACATTAAGAAACGGAGCAGTTAAGTGGTATACAGGTATCTACATAATATCAATGGGGAGAGCACAACATAAAGTGTGTGTATATATACTTGACCCCAACAGTGCTCATGGGAAAGTGTATGTGCATATCCACATTAATAGTCAAGAATGAGAAGTCAGAACCACGCAAGCCGCAACCACCATCCACTACTCCCCATGAGTCCGTAATGAAAAGGAAGAGAAGGGCCGGAAGTCTCCGACCAGCAGTGGCAGGATGGGTGAATGCTACTTTTCTCTGGTTTTTAATTTTGTTTTCCTTTCAAAGCAAATACTCTGGGTTACAGAGAATGACGGAGGGGCTGCTGCCTCAGGCCTAGAAGGCTTCGTTCGGAGTGGGGAGAGTGGGCTGGGTTTGGCTCTTACTTGCATGGTCGCTTCATTGGCGGACAGGACACAACGCAGTCTCTCTAAGTCATGGTCTCGGTCTCTCACCGCAAGGCGAAGCTGCCGCAGCTCCTTGTCCTTTTCTTCTAGAGCAGAGAACTTTTCATCTATAACGTGCTGCAAGGAAAGCAAGGCTCCTGAATACAGGAGGGTTCACCAAACTATCACCTTTATTCAGTTAGATCCCAAATGTGAGAACTGGAAGCTGGAACCCCAAAGCAGTCATTTAGACAGCTAGAAAGAACAGCAGTGGAGTAGGGGACTGGCCACGTACCTCTAGAGCAACAGCTCGGTCTTGTATTCGTTGCCGCAATTTCTCAAGAAACACCTCATTCGTGTCTAGAGTTTTGTCTGTGTTATCCCGATACTGTAGGAGCTCCTGAAGTTCCTAATGAGACAGAAGTACTTTCCTTTATTCCTCTATCTCTTAACTGAATTTCTTCATTTTCCTGAGGAATTTGTTGTTGAGTACACATTCACAAAAGTGTCATAGCTAACAGAGATGTAAATTGTTAATAATTCTGCAACAAATGGATTAGCAGGTGAGCCAGCCGGCTCAGGCAGACACGGGCCACACCGTCTTAGTTATCCCAGCGCTGAGGACACAGAGGCAGGGGGAACTCTGTAATTTGGAGGCCAGCCTGGTCTACATAGCTCCAGGTCAGCCAGGGCCACATAGTCAGACGTTGTCTCAGAACAAAACAAAACTACCAACAGCAAAAAGATATTTCCCGAATGAAGGTGTGGCATGGGTACCTCTGTGAGGGAGTGGGAATCATATACAATGGTATGTAAAAATTACTTACTCTGAAACTTAGGAGATTCAGTGTCCCCAAAGCTTAGAGGAGGTGACAGAGCTGATCATGCTTCTTAGTCCCCTATTTCCCCCTAAATTTTCATTCTATCACTGAGTTCTGCGAAGGTTTCTGTAAGAGATCTCTCCTGCCATGTCTTCATGAAGCAGGGTGTCCGGCTCAGAAGTGTTGCATTTGCTAACTCTGCCTGTGCTGTTTACATTCACACGTAGTTACGTGCTGGATAGCATACTGCTCGTAACAAGGACGTTGACAGTTACATGCTGGATAGCGTGCTGCTCGTGGACAGTATTTTCTACTCATTGTGTCTGTTTTAACTCCAGCAGTCATACGTGGGCACAGGCAGGCCTTGAGGTGGTATGAGCAGGCATCTGAGAGCTCGGAAGGCTGCTTTCATCTGAGGACTTACCTGAATTAGCTGTTCTTTGTGACTCAGACTGTGACTTAGGTGTTGAATGTTTTGTCCCTGGGTTCGAATCTCATTATATTTTTCCGCCTCCAGAATGTGAAGCTGTTGGCTCTTACTGTGCAGTTCGCCTTGGAGATGTTGTAAAGCCTTTCGTAATTCCTGAAATAAACAGATCATGTTTTTACATGATGGCACCTGCCCATAATCCCAGCTGCTGGAGAGTCTCAGGCAGAAGGATCTCAAACTCAGGGCTAGCCTGGGCAAAACAGCTCTACCTCATCTCCAAACAAAACAGACAAAAAAACTTCAAAGGCATACAATAAAATATGACGTAGCAGAGAATGCCATCATTTAAATTGATATAGCAAAAGTATAGAGAATACAAATCAAACAGGATATGAAAGCTTATAAAAAGTATGGAGGTGAAAGTAAATTCGGTATCCCAGTTCAGAGACACCAGGGCAGTGCGAGGTTTTTGTCTTGTAAGAACAGCTCTGTCATCTACTGGGTAAGCTCTGAGCTGTAACCCTGATCTTTCCCTAATGAACTCAGCTTCTGAATCTGCACTACCACTTACTAAAATATCTGAAATTTTACTATTTCTAAAGAAAATCCAGGGCCCATAATTAATTTCTGAACTACTAAGATAGAAGCTAGCACACAAAAAAGAATCTTTAAAATGCAGAAAACAAACAAAAATAGCATGTGCTCCACACTAACAAGATAGAGGACTATTTAAGGATTGTCTAATGCCTACATATATTTACATTACATGACTAATTATGCACGTAAATACCCTTCTCTACTTTACCCAACGACTTTTTCAATTTAATTTAATTAATTTATGTATATATTCATTTATTTGTGTGTGTCCTACTTCTATGAGTGCAGGCATGCACGTGTGGAGGTCAAAGGACAACTTTCAGGAAGTGGTTCTCTCCCTCCGGCATAGTTCTGGGGCGGAAACACTTGTGAGTCAGGCCTTTTTCACTTGCTGAGCTACCTCATTAGCCACAGCTGACTTTATCCTTTCAGAATAACCTCAGCGATCTCCTCCTTCATGAGGCTTTAAGCCCTCTGACTTCTTTCCTCAGACCCTCCTGGACATAGCTATGGGAACATAAACCAGAGTCTTGGGAGTATTTACCCTGTTAACATTCTGTCGTGTGACTGCCTCTCCTGCTAAAGTATGTTGGTTAAGTCGCAGGGTCTGTGATATCCACCTTTGTACTTTTAGGACACGGTCTGCTCATCTGGTGCATGACCCGGGGGCAACAAATACTGACCACACTAGACAAGGCCACTGATGCAAGGGTTCAGGCCCCGCACAAACTGTCCTGCTCACAGTTCTCTGTGGGGCAAAGTCGGCCCTGAGGGCAACAGAACGGTTAATGATTTACCTGGTTATGTTTCCAAGCAGCTTCCTTCTGTTGCTCTCTCTCCTGGGCTGCAGCCTCCACAAACTGCATGCATCGCTTGCCATCAGCCAGCTGGCGTTCCTTCTGGCGTACCAGCCTCTGGAGCTTCTGTATTTCAAGCTGGCTGCAGAATAGAGCACTCTGCAGATCAAGCAGGGCTACTTGTTGCTGAGCAGGGGCGATGCCCTCTGAGCTCTGAAAAGAGCAGGATCATAATCACAATCACAGAGAGGAAAGCAGGTAGCCCCGGGGAGACCTGGGCAGCCAGGGCGGCCCCATTCCTGCCTGTGGTCCTCACGTACATGGAGCTGTCCAAGCTGGCTCTGGTGCAGCATTTCTCGAAGCTTTGCCATTGTGTCATTTTGACCTTCAATCACCTGGTACAGCTCCTCAGTCTGGAAATGAGAGGATATCGTGTTAAGATTAGCCAACCACTTGTAAATTACTTCTCTCCCCTGTGCAGACGTTAGTAACAGAAGCTTTCCAAAACACCTACTTGGTGGACAGTTTTCCATAGTAAGATTTGTTGGTCTGACAATGTGACATCTACAAAACAGAGAGCACTTACCTATGTCACTAGTTTCCCCACAGGTCTGGGACCACGTGTCATCTTACCTCACTTTCCCTGCTTTTTAGTGTTTCCTTGAGGCTCTGGATTGTCGTATCTTGCTTCTGAGATGACTCCTGTGCAGATTTTAGCTCACAGCTCATGTCATTTAGTTTCTCTTGAAGAATCTGGATTAGGCAGAGAAAATTCATTAGCCCCATGACTTTTAACCTCGAGGGCCATCACACTGTCCTGTGCATCGTGGGTTTAAAGAACGGCTTAGGGCGTATCCCCTTACTTCTTTCCTGTGCATAGTAACAATAAGACTATGAAGAGAGGCAGTAAATATGCACTGCTTCCCTCAACGCTCAAACATCTCAGTTCTCATGTCCTGCACACATTCTTTATGTCAACAGCCATAGTATTTTCTTGACCCTCCCATATGACCAAGGAGTACCTGCTATCTAGTACAGGATGGACTATTATAAGAGCACACTAGATCAGATATTCAAGAGCCCCTTTGGGACAATTGCCTTAAAAGCAGACATTAAAATCTATGAGCTGTAAGAAATTACACTAAAATTTAAAGCACAAGCTTCCTGTGTCAGAGCCTTACTGTAGAGTTAAAGGTTACATGGAAGATCTGATCTCATTCCCATAAGGCATCAGAAAATGTGGTATGTATGGAACAAGCTAAAATCCTGATAAGACAAAGAGAAGGGCTGGGAATGCTATGAGGACATGATTTTAATCCCTAGCAGCCACATAAAAAGCCAGGTTTGGAGCTGTTTGTTTATAATCCTAGCTCTGGGAATGTGGCAACAGATAGATAGATCTCTGGCTAGCCTAACTTAAGCCCTGGGTCCTAGTGAAAGTTGGTCTCCAAAAATACCCCAAGGTAGATACCTCCTAAGGAACAATACCCGAGACTGATCTCTAGTACACACACACACACACACACACACACACACACACACACACGCATATCTACCTGGATACATGCAACTCACACATACAAGAAAGGAAATAAAGATAAAAGTGTAGAACTATACTTCTAAGTGAGCCATTCTGTAGAGAACTGGGGATGCCCCAGCATCCATCTCCCAGACTATAACAGACTCAGGATGGAGCTGGACTAGAGCCAGTTCTGACGTACCTTGTTGGTGGCCTCCGTTTGCTGGAGTTTTTCCTGGAGTTCTGCCAGGTGGGAATCAGACACAGATGGTTGGGTTGTAGGGGTCTCATTTAAGTCTGGCTTTTGTTGCGTGGGTAACCCTTTAAGCACGGGCTAAGGCAGCAGGGAAGACAAGCACACTGAGTAAATGCAGTCAATAAGCCATTTGATTTTCATGTTCAAACTAGGCCTCCTTTTCCCAAAAGTTGGAAACCACAGTTGGGGCACAAATGATCAGGTGACTTCCTGATGACAGACCTGCAACTTGCTGGGAATGCCACTTTACCTCCAACCCGCCATGCTCCTTCCCTCCTGTCCTCAACCTTCCCCAGCCATTCACCGGTAAAGCAAGTAACTCAGAACTTAAAGACAAGGGGGGACATAATAAAGAACATAGCTACAACCAAATATTTGCTTTATTCTATGCTTAATCAGGAGATTAATGAAGGCATCAAAGGGTCAAAGTTATAGTCCAATTACCTTTCCTACAACAGGCCTATTTGTCTTGTTGGAAAACCTGACAAACTTTTATTCTTTGATATGGGTCATACATTAGAGAACAGCATTTCTGGTCACCAAATTTCCAAGTTTGTACTGCAGTTGATAAGAGATGTCCTTGTCCTTAAGAAATACATGTGGTTGTATCTACAGTAAATGACTTAATTGGAAGTTAAAAAAAAAAAAGGAATGTACCCAGACACAGAGCAGGAGTAAAAAGGCAAAATGTAACAAAAATAGCAACCCTCCAAAAGTCAGGGTGAGGAATCATGGGAAGTTTTCATACTTTTTTTTTAATTGTCTCAATAAACCAAAATTATTAAAAATGGAGGAGGAAAGTAATCATAAAACATAACCACAACATTCTGGAAGGCAGTATACTTTCTAAGAATACTCAGTCTTAAAGAGCATCAGATGAACTATATCAAACTCCACCTGAAGATCACAATGAGCTAAGATGGTGGGTACCTAAGGAATTCCTGGCCACATTAAATCCTCCCTCCTCTGCCAGCCCCTTCTTCCTAAGGAAAAGTAAAGAAGTGCTATTTATGTTTTTCTTTTCCTGGGCTTTCAAACTTTCCGAACTTCCAGAGCCTGGGGTTACAGACGACTTTAAATACCTTCCTGCAAGGGACTGAGAAGAGGAAGTGAGGGGTTTTGTTACCCCAGAGTGCTGGTTACTACTTTGTTTCTAACCCTATAAAATACAGAGCACTGTGGGTGGGAAGCACGGTGCAGGCAAATACTTAGTTCTGGCTCCCATCAGTCTTGGTTTATTGAGGAAGTAAGTGGTCATACCATTAGACTATTCATTTTGACAGATCATAAAAAAAGGCTCTTGGCAGAGATGAAATTTATTTAGATCTGCAAAGGATGAGAGCTTTGACACTGGCTAGGATGAGTGAGGAAAAATGTTCTACACAAACCAGAGGAATGGGTAAGGTTAATGGATACAAAATATCGACTTTGTTACTTTTATAAGCAATGTAATCTTATAATTGACAATTCACACTGAAAAACTATTTTTTGGGGGGGGTTGTTTTGAGACAGGGTCTAATAATCCAGGTCTGGCTTCAAACCCCAGAATCCTGCTTCAGTTTCTCAACTCTAAGATTACAAGCCTGCATTATTGCACCCAGCTTGAATCATTGCTAAGAATTAAAAGGGTGCAATGATTCAAGAAAAGCAGGTACAAACAAGGATGTTTTATTACCTTTATAAGCCCATAGCTATTTCTGAACAGCTCATTAAAAGGCTATTTTATCCCTGCTAAATGAATTGATAAAACACAATCTTAAAATTAAAAGGTTAGATGATTAAAGAGGTATTGAGACATAGTCTCAAACATAAACAAATGACAGGAAATGGAACCGATCTGCAGAGTTCTGAAGGTTGATGGAATGACTCACAAAAGCACGGAGACTTCTGACAGCATCAATGTGCTTTGACAAGAAATGGGAGTGAAGTGGGCCCATTTACCCTGGCTATGCCTCTTGTTTATCACTATAGCACGGTCAACTTCATCTACTCCCCCCACACAGATGTGCCGAGCACTAAGTAGCAGATATTATGTTGGAGAAAGGAGTACTGTATAGGACAAAGTGCCTTCTCTTGAAGATTCTTCAGAGCTTGGGTTTGGTGGCTACAAGGTAAATATGGAAAGATGGAGTGGACTGCTGGCTTGGCAAGTCCTATGTAGTAACACAGGAAACCATGCACAGGAAACCATGCAGTGAATTGGTGACTGTTACTTTATATTGAGTAGAAAGAGCCTTCCTCCTGAGACTTTATATCAACTAGAGAGAGCTTTCCTCCCGAGATAGTATCTGAATGGACATCTGAAGGGGAAGTAGTCAGTTATTCTAAAAGAAACAGAAACCAAGCCAGGCAGGCTGATGAAAAGTGAGCCTGGGAAAGGAAAGACATATATATCTAGAAGGGCACACCCCAGGAGAAAACCACTGGGAGCCACCTGTGTCAGTTTTCATTTTCTCAGAGCTTCACTGAATAAAAGTAAATTAAAAAAAAAGTAAACTTAGTTTTGACAATTTGTCTATGCAAATATTTCTAAAACATTACAAATGTGGTCAATATAAAAATAAGATTTTTCAGTATTTGAAATTTGAGGTCTATTTTATACTCAGAGCACATTTCAACTCAGACTAGCCACATTTTGACTGTGAAAGCAGGAGACACAAGCTGGTGGTGAGCCTAATTAGAACACACTGGGCAAAGGGGAGGGTAATGGGGTCCAGTGTGAAGGGAGGCACAGCCCAGGTCTTTACCTTCTGAACAGCAAGGATAATCGAGCTGCATTCATCCAAACTGGATAAAACTTGTCTACAGTGTTTTATGTACTTACATTTTGGTTTTGGTGCTGCTGGGTATCGAACCCAGTGCAGTTATGTCCCCAGCCCTGACTGCAGTGTTTTCTAACAGAAGAGCAAACATATTTAAGTTTTTAGAAGCTCACTGCAGCTGCTCAATGGTGATGGACAGTTACCCAGCAGAAGAGAGATCAACCAGAAAGCAGGTGAAAGGTGCTGGATTATAAAGATAGCAGTGGAAGAGATAAGTGGATGGGTCTCGTACAGGTAACGTGCTGTTGCTCCAGACAACTGGAGGCAGGAGAAGCAAGGAGGGCGACTCCCAGAAATACTTGAGATATTTGTTGTGGTGAATACAAGAAGTCTCCCCCGAAGCAATGTGGATTATGTCACACACATACCATAAGAGATGACTGAAATAGATACAATTCTAATGGACGAATAAAATCATCAGTGATTCAATGGAAAAGCAGCATCTATAAGACCTGGCTTTTGGTTTCCTTGGTGTAAAATCACTCTTCAGTAATGTTATGCTACAAATTTGAAATCTCACCCACAGCAAGCACAATTGAAGACACAACTCCAGGCCTAGAGATAGAGCCAAGCTGTAAGGCGTGGCTAGCATGCACAAAACCGAAGGCTTAGTCCCTAATCTCTAGTGCTGGGTATCAGGAAACAGTTTCAACATTAAAATGGCAGGAAGACAGTGCTATTTATCCACTTTAAATCAGAGACCACAGAGCTCTGAAGGGAGCAACAAACTAGCCAGCCACCCTGATTCCACTTACTATACAAGGAAATGGAAAACTATAAAAGGTAGATTAAGCTATTCAAGTCACAAAAAAAGTCAAGAATTACCCAGGGAAAACTAAATTGCAGTTAGTGATGCAGCTTTTATTCCCATAAACCCAGGGCTCCCCATAATGTTAGGAACATTTTAGGGATCAAAGGCTTGTGCTTAATGACTAAGACCAATAAAAACAAAACCAAATTAAACCAGGCCTGAATCCTACTTCAATGTTCTAATACTTCAACAGCAGTCTTAGAAGCAAGATCATTTACTTGTGTATGTGTATATATACAGACATGTTTATATTCATATATACGTCATTTCTCTACTTATGTATACATAAACACAAGGGCATATAAGTGGCAGCTTCAAAGCCAAAGAATGCCACAGGCAAGGAATCTGCGTCTCATGTAAACTAGCTCAGCATGAGTCACAAGAAACTTCAGATTCTGTAAATGACTTACTTTAAAAAAGTCTTCATTTCGCCTTTCTTCATAATATGTTCTTTTATTGCAGAGAAAATGCCTTTTCAGAGACACCCAAAGGGCCCTTATTAAGTTCCTCTGGGTCAGGAATGCCCACTAAGTTCTTGTAAAGTACCAAGCACATAAGCTTGGACCTCGGACAATTTACAGAGCCGGAGGTCAGTGGTCCTTAGTTTAGTAGCATCAGGGTCACTCTCAGATGCTTGGCTTCTAAGACCATGACCTAAGCACAATGTCCTTTCAGATTAATCATTTTCAAGTCAGAGTTGGTATGCATGCTTGATCAGTCTGAAAAGGAGAGCAGAGCCCGGGCCCAGGGCTGCAGGAGGCTAAAGAGCAGGTTTTACCTCTGGATCAACGGCATTTTCCTGGCATGTTCTTACCCTCACAATAGTGAGTCACAGATCACAAACTGCTATCATTTCCTATCCTGCTGTTAATCATCAGAGACAAACAAGAACCATCAGCTAGCATAAAATTAAAGGCCCAGTCTATGACTATTATCTAATGTCTACATTTTCTAAAGGATCTGATCTGCCTAAATAAACAACTGGGGTATTAAGTGGGACAAATTCACCATAGTCCCCACAAAGCAGACCTTGACCTTGTAAGGGTTGAAGCAAAAGTGTGCTCTTTAAATTTAGATACAAAGGAGCCTGGTAGCTCAGAGTTCTTTGTGAACTGCTGTTTACTAAGGGACCACAACCCCCATCATAGCTTTTCTACCTCAGGGCAGGACAATAAAGAAGGAAATTACTACCCAGAACAAGACCTCAAACCTTCACACAGATAATCTGAGAAGCTTGGGTCTTCCAGGTGTAAAGTCCACAGAAGGCAAATAAGTGATTTGCATATATCAGTAAGCAAGACAAATATACTGTTGCTATTTAGCTTAATATAAGGAAGAAGTGGGTGTAGGGTTGGAAGGAAAGCAAAGCTCTTAGGAAGAATCTTCAGGCTGGTAGCTAATACACATACAAAGGGTTAAGTGGAAGATTAAACAAAAGAATCAAAATGACTAACAGAAAGGTCTGCCAGGTTTCCTTCCTATTGTAGGAGAATTTTTGCTTTTGAGACTCTTGATTCTACCAACTAAAAAGAAAACTACCCAAACCCTGCATTTATTATTCTTCGTTTATGTGCTCAGACCTGCATTTAATATTCTTCATCCATGTGCTCAGAAAAACTGATAAAAGCTGGTCTGCCCTTGTCCCACCTGGCTGTGGTTTTACCAAACACCATAATAGCCCTTAAGGAGATTAAAAATCAATTGGACTTAATCAATTAGATTAAGACCAGAACAAAATAGGTATTTTGTTTACAAACACTTTGAACTGAGTGTAACTATTTTCCCTTGCATCTTTAGTTATTGGAGAAAACATAGTAAATAAAACTCTTTCTTGACGCTCAGTGCCATTTTCTCTTACCTCCCAGTGTCTTATACTTCACACAGTAAAGAATGAAGTCATGTGACGACAGATTAAAGCTCTAACATTCACTGTTACTGTAACAAAGGGACTTGATCTGAGGGTACAATTACCATAGTTTGCATACTTATTCAGTTTTCTTTATGGAAACCCCTAAAATCCTCCTGGAATCCTTGGATACAGAAAGCGGTTTCTTGGTTTAAAATAAGTTAAGGTTATGTGCTTCAGGCAATGTAATTAAATGTACAGAATTAAAAGGTCTTGGCTGAAACTAGTGAGGGAACTTTGGCTCAGCAAGGCTCTTATTTAAACAAACTTTCCAAAATTCTTAATGAGGGGTGTTCTTGAAAATTCTTCCCAACTCCAAAACTGGCTGAGTCCAGGCAAAATACCAAAAGATAGTTTTTCAATTAAATATGGAGTAAACAAAATCTTGTCTGTGGAATCTTCAGGTCTTCAACTTGCTGCAGTATTGGCCATGGTTGAGAGGCGAAAATATCTTAGTTCCCCATCGTAACCAGCCTAGTTTTAGATATTAAATTGGTATCTCTATGAGTGTTCAATTTGTAGTATCTATGTCTGTTTGAGCCAAACATAGCAGTGGGGATCCATTGAAAAAAAGAAGTACCCAAGTGCTGGGTATATATAATGCTTAACATTTCACACAAATGAAAGTACTTATTTTTTTTCTTTTTAATAACACTTTCATATGTGCTATTTCTGATAATTTTATATAAACTTTAAAAAACATTTCTTGCACTTTCTGTTAAAGTTCTTATTGGTATACAAAGTTTACATGCAGCCTACATATGCCTCAAAAATCTCATTTAATTGGAATCTCAACTTCATTCATTAGCAGATTGTAAGTTTCTGAGCCCCCGTTGACTGAGGACTAAGCTTCCTTAGTGACTTCTAGATTGTCCACCTTAGCAGTGAGTGGTACCTCTACAGAATGAATGTGCCAGGATATTTAACAAAGTTAACTGAATCTAGCGTTTACTGTTGCTATAGAGATGGAGGAGCATCTGCCAGGTCCCTGTAAATAGCTGAATTTAAAAGGGCGCTGTGAAATCAGTTGGGTGGACATGAATAGCTTAAATTGAGTTCGACTGCCATTCTGCAGTCATTGAGAAAGTCAAGAGTAGGGTGAGTGAATCCTTCCTTAATAACAAGTATCTTCCAGTGGGCTCAGTAGAAAAGCTGCCTGTGCAGTTTCAGCTTAACTCTACAGGTGACAGCATTTGAATCCCTAAGTGTCTTCCATGCACAAGTCACCATTCGCTCGCAGGTGACCTTTAATTATAGCAAACACTGCCCAGACGTTCTTTCTAATGCTTTCCTGATGACAGGTTTCACTCTATGTGCTAACCATTTTGAGGCATCTGGGGGATGAAAAGCTTAGAGCTCCAGGGAGAACTTGCCAGGAACCTAACTCTCTTACAGAAAGACAGTGGAAGAATATCATCCACAAATCTAAAAACAAAACCCAGCAAAAATCAAGGGGTGGTGTGGGGGATGGCTTCTGGTGCCAAAAGTGAGACAAATGTCTTCTTTCTGCAGAAAAAGAATCTTCATCTTTTGTTACATATAATTCTGACAATAGGAACTGTTAAACTGACCACAAGCAAAAAGTATAGCCAAAATAGGCTCAACAGTTAATTTTTTTCAAACCTAGAGCACTATTATCCTGGAGCTAAACAAACCATGGGAAATCTGTAGATAGCTCATCAGAAAGGCACTATAGGTAGCCATTGTGTATACCTGGAACCCGATCGGCAAATACTCATCACAGAGATCATCCCACAGCTCCTGTAGGTCTGAAATCTCCCAAGGATAACTCACAGGTGTCCTGTAAAGGGGTTTCAAAGGCCTGTTAAGGAAACTGGAACTAACTCCATTTGTCATGATATGGCCAGGCTTGGCTCCAGGTAGGATGGATTTCACTGGAATAGGAAGCTTGCTCCCTCTGGGACTCTGAATGGGCTTATAATCAAGACCTTTAATCATGCTAAGAGCTAGCTCCAGTCTGTGGTTACACAAATGCTGTGGAGCCTGTTCATCAGAACAGTAGTCACATTTTACAAGTTCTTTCGCACTTCTCTCCGTTTCCTCATCTTTCTGTTGTGGAGGACTAGCCTGGACACTAGCATCCAGAGATTCCACAGAGGAACCTGGTGTCCCTTCCTCCATGCTTTCTCCATCCGGGGGTACCTTTGTGCTTGGTAAGTCTGGTGGCCCAACCTCTGACAATGCTGGTTCTTCAGTGCAAATGCTGGTAGACCACCTGCTAGAGGGGGCATAAGAAATACTTCTGGCCACTTTTCGAGGCACCTTACAAATGGCTTCATAGTCGGAATCTGCAACCCGCAAAGCTGCACAACCACGGCATCTCCTGGGTCGGTTTCCGGGCCCTTCAGAAGCATGACAGCTGTGTGAGTCGTTAATCTGATCCTCATTTTCTACCCAACATTCAAACCCTGAATAGGCAAAATCTTCTTGGAGCAGTGCAGCGTACCTCATATCTGGCAAGCCGGAAATGTCTACCGTCCCACTCCCCGCCTTGTTCTCCTCGCCAGAGTCATCGTTATTCTTCCGATACATACTGGCAATGCAGAACTTGAGGCGATCCTTTTCCAGAAGCAGCTTCTGTAAGCGCTCAAGAGAAAGGGCTTCGATCCTGGCAATGACAGTATCGAATCGATAGATGCGATCGAGCATGAAAGCACACTTGCTGCAAGCAAACTCGCCTTTCCCATCACGAGAGACATCTTTGCCTAGGACGTGCGAAAGCAGAACCTGGAGGTTGAGCTTGGACGCGGTATGGAAGATCCAACGCCGCTGGTTTCCACACAGCTCCCGGGCACAGATCCTGCAAATCTCTTTCATCTTCACTCCTGGAGGGTGCGGAACTTCTCTGTAGCGGCCACAGCTGCGGGTTGCTCACCGGCTCTGGGATGCGGTCCTCTTCCCACCTTGATGGTCTGGAGCTGGCATGGCCCAGTCCCAGGTCCTCTCTGGGCAGGGGCACACCTCAGCGCGCGCAGGCTCTGGGTACCACAAGACCAACCCCGCCCCTCGGGCAGGGGGCGGGCGCGGGCGCAACACCGACGGGGATGCTGAGTGACAGGGCACAAGCTGCGCGAGGTCGCTGCCAGGGCCCCCACAGCTGTCTCTCCCGCAGGCCGTCTTGTCCTCTACGTCCTCCGGAGCGGGCAGGCTAGGCTCCGGGACAGTAGTGTCGGCTCAGAGCTGACGCAAAGCCCGGGAGATGAAGCATCAGATTTCAAGATGGCGCCCGAGTAGGCGGCCTCCCCAAGACTCCTCTGGGAGTTGTAGTCCGACCGCTGCAGCTCCGCGCATGCGAGCTGGCGAGTACCTCGCCTCGCCCCTAATCCAGTCTCTCCTGCTAAGCTGGCAAAGGGGACTTTGCCCGGAGTGGAAAAAGCAAAGTGAGATATAAGGGCAACGCCTTTTACTCTGATAAGATCTCACCAAGTACACGCCCTGATCCTTTCAAGGAATCTCTCTCCTCTGCTGGATGCCTTGAGGCTCCTCCCAGGGAGGAGAAAACCCAGTCCACTCCCTGTCTGTCAACCGCCAGTGCCACGTACACTGGATGTGGCTTGGCGGTGCCACTAGGTACCGCTGCACCACCGCCTTCTGCCGCCGCCCAACCTACTTTCCTAACTCTTGACTCTAGGGTCAGAAGCCACAGGCTGCAGAGATGGTTGGGGAGAACCTGGTAAGTAGAGGAGGCAGGTTGAAAGAGCTTTCCCGAGGCCAACCTAAGGTTATTATAAGAAAGGAGACTAGTGTTTCTATCAGTGTCGGGTGATGTGTGGATAGCAGGCCTAGGTGTTTTGTCCTTTAATGAAGTAGTGAGTGGGGAATGGACAGTGTACAGCACAGGCACCTGAGAGTCCAGAAAACACCAGGTGACTGCATCTGATGATCAAGATGTTAAAGATAGCAAGAAAATGGGCTTTGTCAAGCTTCAGGCCTCCTGAGAGATTATCACGAATTCTCTTTCAGGTCCTGGTCGACAACTTCTTTTGGAAATGGAAGAGGGGAAACAAACACGTCTTTGAAAGTGCTTTCTATTCAAGTACTTCAGAATTAGGGCTGGAAATTCACTGGCATAGTTAGTACCTGGTTTTACTACTATATAGTTAAGTCTCCCGACCCTTTCCTATAGAACTTCATGCACATAAGAGAACCTGGAGCAGCAACTGAATGAGATGCAGGTATCACAAACTTTTGCCAGTAAGAAATTCACTTCCTGGCTTTAGAGGCAAGCACCAGAAGAGAAACAGTAACCCCAGCAACCTCTTGAGCTTCCTCCAGAGCAGGAACTCGGGTCCCTAACTAATGACTTTTAGATTCAAAAATTGTGGGGCTGGGGATATCATGATTGTTCTAATCACCTAAACAAAATCCTGTAGATTTGTATGCAGCATAACTTTGTGTATATAATTTAATCTGAAGACACAGATTCTGATCCTCTAATCCATACCGTAAAATGGGATTCCAAGTAAAAACAGCTGCATTTCTTTTTATCCTTAACTTATGTGAGCTTGAAAGTCAAAAGAAACTGAGCATCAGTCTTTGAAACCTACAACTATCTATCTATTAAAGGCAGAGTTTCTGAATTCACTATGACCGGTGGATGGGCAGAGAGTACTCTACTTCCTCCTACACAAAACACTCCAAAATTACCCTGAAAAGTCAATAGTGAGCTTTCATAGCAGAACCAGCCTTCACATGACCGTTGGTGTTTAAAATAACTTGATCATAGTAAAAAAAAAAAAAAAGGTCGAGCTGTGTGGATAACAGAGCTTGAAGCTAAAATAGAACTTATTAGAAACATTACAATACGTTTAACATTTTATGAGCTTATCATCATCTTCATCACAATTTGTAGTCACAGTAGCTCCTTCAAGGAAGAAAACAAAATGGAACTAGATGAAGACATTTTATTCTATGCTACGAACCATTTGAATTTAGGCCAATAAATATTTAATTTTAAATTAATTTTTAATTATTTTTAATTAAATTAATTAATTAATTAAAAATTAAATATTTAATTTTTATTTCATTGATTTTTTTTTTTTAGATTTAAAAAATTGTTCGTGAATGAATGTTTTGCCCGCATGTTTGTATATGTACTACAAGTGTGTCAGCTGCCCCAGGAGTTCAGAAGAGGGAACTGGTTTCCCAGAACAACACTTCCAAATGCTTATGAGCACCATATGGGTACTAGGAGCTCAATCCAGGTCCTCTGCAAACCCAACAAGTATTCTAAGTAGTTGAGTCATCTCTCCAGCCCTAAGCTTTAAATTTAAGATAGATGCCATAGGTAAAGCCAAAGGCTGCATCAATTTAACACATCAGGTTCTACTTAGATCTAAGCCATAGAGCTTGAAACTGAAGGGAAATGCTGGTAACTTGCATGATATACATATAGTATAGTATAGTACTTATGAACAAAGATTTAAATAAGGATATACAAATTAATAATAATGGTTCTATCTGGAGAATAAAATGGATACTTATGTTCATTTTCCATCATTTGGATTCTATAGTTTTTTACAATAAATATATAACATTTTGTGATTTAAAGAACGTTTCTTTAAAACAAGGTAGGATTCCAGTTTTGGTGGCACATACCTTTAATCCCAGCACTTGGAAGGCAGAGACAGGCAGATCTCTGTGAGCTTGAATCTACATTTCAAGTTCTAGGCCAGTCTGGGCTACATATGGAGATCTTGTCTTAAACAAGGTAGAATAAACATGTTCTTACATAGTTGTGCAACACTATCCAGCAGTGAATAAGAACTGGCTATGATATGTGCTTCATGCATGGATCTCAAAAATGTGGTAGTGAGAAAAGCCATATACGAACAAAACATTCCGTGTGAAATGTAATCGTTTCAATCATTTGAGGTAAAAAAAAAAAAAACAAATAGGAAAAATATATCTATTGTGGTAGAGGTTAGAAATGATTTCAGGATGAGAGGGTGAAAAACTAATTTCAAAGGAAAATGTGCTGGCTAGTTTTATGTCAACTTGGTACAATCTACAGTTATGAGAGAGGAGGGATGTTCAATTGAGAAAATGCCTTCATAAGATCTGTCCATAGGCAAGACCATGGGCTATGACCCTTTGGGGGTCAAATGACTCTTTCGCAGGGATCACCCAAGACCATCAGAAAACACAATGTTTACATTATGATTTGCGTAATGTAAACATTATGTAGCAAAATTACAGTTCTGAAGTAGCAATAAAATAATTTTATGGTTGGGGGGTCGGCACAACATGAGGAACTGTATTAAGGGTTGCAGCATTAGGAAGGTTGAGAACCACTGCTCTAGGGCATGTTCTTAGTGATCAAAGGGGGAGGGCCCAGCCCATTATGGGTGGTACAATCCCTGGGCTGGTGAGTTGGGGATTGAGTTGACCTAGCATGAGGGTTCAAGGACATCACAAGAAGACCTGCAGAGTCAATTAACCTGGGCCCACGGGGGCTCACAGAGACCAACCAAAGAGCATGCAGGGGCTGGACCTAGGCCCCTACACATCTGTAGCATGTGAAGCTTGGTCATCATGTGGGTGCCCTAACAATTGGAGACTGTCTCTGACTCTGTTGCCTGCCATTGGATCCCTTCCCCTAACTGGACTGCGGGGTTGGGCCTCAGTGCTACTACTTAATGTCTCAAGGTAGGTGGTACCCAAGAGGGTCTTCCCCTTCTCTGAGAAGAAAAGGAGGGGGTGGTGGGGGAAGGATTTGTAAGGGTGGAACTGGAAGGACAGGAGGGATGGGGGTCCTCATCAGGATGTAAAGTGAATAAATTAATGAAAAAAGAAAGGAAAAGAGGAAGGAAGGGAGGAAGGAAGGAAGGAAGGAAGGAAGGAAGGAAGGAAGGAAGGAAGGAAGGAAGGAAGGAAAGCTGGCTGAGTACACCATGGGGAGCAAGCCAGTAAGCAGCACTCCTCCATGGCCTCTGCATCAGCTTCAGTTTCCGCCTTCAGGTTCCTGCCCTGACTTCCTTCAGCGATGGACAGAGATGGGGAAGTATAAGGCAGTAAACGCACTCCTCTCCAGTTTGCTTGTGGTCATGGTGTTTATCACAGCAATAGTAACCCTAACCAAGACAGAAAACAAAGACAGTTCTCTGTGGCAGTAAGATTTTCTGGGCCATGTCTTGAGTGATGGATACATGAGTTTGTGCAGGTTCCAAGCTCATTGAGCACTTAGAATTGTAGAGTTGTAGATTTTTATGGTAGTAAAATTTCAGCTATGCATTGCCTAAATAATTTTAAACTTTTTAACAGAAAACAATCTCTTTAGCACAGGATAGCTTTGAAAATTGGGAAGATAAAATACAGTTCGGAAGACATTCTATAAATGACCCAATCAAAATTTTAATTTCTAGTTCTTGTTTAACATGAATTTTAGAAAACAATTTCATACACATATGCATCCCATATATTTATAACTGAAACAATATATGAGATTAAGGTGAGATAGAAGATTTTTGTGATGATTTAATATAGGATGATTACTTCTAAAATTTACAGCAGCCACATAATAGAAAATTAGAGAATGGGTTTCCTAGTATGTAGTTTTAAGTACATTATCAATGGGTTATATCAGTAGTTTGTTCAATAACAAACTGGGTGAGGAGGTCCATGCCTACAATCCTAGCAGGCAGGAGATAAAGGCAAGATGAGGAGTTCAAGGCAATCCTTAGCTACATCGTGAGTTAGAGGCTAGCCTTGACTACATTAGAACCTTGTCTCCAAAAAAGAAAGAAAGAATTAAAATAACTGATGAACACATTTATAAGCATTTAGTAACTTAGAAGTTACTACTTAGATGACTAACCTTAGGTGAAGCCACTTATATCTGTCTGGACCTTAGATTCCTAATGAACAATATTTTCAGAAGGTATCTGGGAAAGACTAAGACATGCAAATGAGTTTTCTGGAGACGGCTCAGCATTTTGCATGGTCTTCGATGGGTGAGCTCTATGATGCAAGGTCACTAGAGACTTGATTCCAGG